CAACAGGTGAGACAGCAGGTAAAAAGGAAGTGATGCAGGCTCCGCCTCCTCCAGTGCACGCCATCAACAGGTGAGACAGCAGGTAAACAGGAAGTGATGCAAGCTCCGCCTCCTCTAGTGCACGCCATCAACAGGTGAGACAGCAGGTAGACAGAAAGTAATGCAGGCTCCGCCCCCTCCAATGCACGCCATCAACAGGTGAGACAGCAGGTAAACAGGAAGTGATGCAGGCTCCGCCCCCACCAGGAGTTTGACCTTTAGTTTTCCAGAGGGATCTTTTTTCTTTCTTTTTTTCACTTTCTTTTCCTTTTTCTTCAACAACACGAACAGCCTCAAAGATAAAAAAAATACAGGTGTGCAGGTTTGTATCCCCCCCCCCCCCACAGAATAACAGAAGATTAATATTACAAACACATTTAAAATAATAGACAAACAAATGATGAACAAATGAATGAAATCACAGCACAAACAAAACTAAAAACAACAACAAAAACTAAAAAGGTGGAGCTAAATGTTCGCCATGGTTTCCAGGGGGATCTTCACTGAAGGCGTGTGCTGCGTCATCGCCGGCCTGCTGGGGACAGGAAACGGCTCCACCTCCTCCAGCCCAAATATAGGCGTGCTGGGAATCACCAAGGTAACGGAATCAGAAATGTACACTTGTTACAGCAGAAAGAGCCAAAGACAGTTTCATGTTAACTAAGAAGCAGACATATTAAAGATTAAACAATTTACAAAAAAAACATCCTGTAACAGTTCTGAGATTTAGCAGCCAGGTATATATAGCACCGTTACTAACGGCATATATATATTGCACATAGTTGCTATACATGTTATTATTCATATGAATTGTATTTGTATTGATTGTGTGGTGTTACCTGTGCAGGTGGGCAGCCGGCGGGTGGTGCAGTACGGAGCCTTCATCATGCTGCTGCTGGGCTCCGTGGGGAAGTTCACCGCTCTGTTCGCTTCGCTGCCGGACCCCATCCTGGGGGGCATGTTCTGCACCCTGTTCGGTGAGGGTCACCTGTCCAGGTGTTAGTGAGGGGCACCTGTCCATGTGTTAGTGAGGTCATCATGACCCAGGTGTTAGTGATGTCATCATGATAAGATAAGATAAGATAAGGGTTTATTCATCCCGAAGGAAATTGTTGTGCCAGAGTAACATAACACAATAAACACAATAAACACAGCAGCAAAACTGTACATTAAAAGCATACTTGTCAACCCTCCCGATTTTCGCGGGAGACTCCCGATTTCATTGCCCTCTCCCGGTTTCCTCCCGGGGTCATATTTCTCCCGCATTTCTCCCGATTTCTGACAAAATCAGATTTACTCAGGACTGTTTCCACTCAGACTTTAATACAGCTACACCATTGTTTGGTTTCCATAGTAACACGTCTTTTTAGTAGCGCGCAACTGAAAGTCTGAGAGGGTGAGGAAGATACTCACAGAAAACAGAACAAGAATCGACAACTACTCTACTCTCTGCTCACTCCTTTCCTGTAAAATACAGGTCCAGCCCACACGTACTGTA